AACCCTAACCCCTAAACCCTAACCGCTAAACACTAAACCCCAGTACAAGCTTTCGTTTATTTTCCCTGATCTCCGCAAGTCCTGAGCTCGTAGGGCTTAGACCTTATGCCTGGTACCCCAAATCTTGAGCTCAGAGCCCCAAATCCTTCCATCGCCCGCACCGCCAGCCCTTAACTTGGGCTCAACCTTCAATCGTACTGGGGGCTCGCACGGCATAAGAGAACATATTATATGGGGATCATATTCCCTTATTCCCCAAACCCAAAACCCTGCTTCGAACCAGTAAGTAGTGTAAAGTGTGAGACCACTGCCAACCTCAGTAGACGCGAATAGGGAATCTCTGACAAGCGGGGTGCCCGTGATGTCACTCCTTGCTAGGACCTAAGCCCTAAAAAAAACCAAGCCCGAACCCTAAACCCTAAACCTTAAACTCCAAACCCCTAAGCCCGAACCCTAGACCAAAAACCTAAACCCAAACCAAATTCTGGGTCCCAGGCTCTGCTACTGGGGCTGGAGCTTCTAAACTTGGCCTTCGTCGCTCCTTCCGCTCCCGGGGCGGCTCCCCGAGGCCACAGAGGGTTCAGCGTTTGTTGAAGGTTTAGGGTTTAGGGTTTAGGGTTTAGGGTAGAGGGTTTGGAGGGGTTAAGGGTTTTAAGGGTTTTAAAGGTTTTAAGGGTTTTCAAAAATCTTGAGGATTTTTAGGGCTTTCAAGGTTGACAGGGTTTTTGGGGTCTTAAGGGGCTTTAAGGGGCGTAGGCTGGGGTTTAGGATTAGGGGTTCCAGATTTTGGGTTCAAGGGTTTAGGATTTAAGGTTTGAGGGTTTGGGGGTTTTGGAATTTTGGGGTTGAGGGGTTCAGGGGTTGAAGGCTTGGGGTTCCAGGCCTTAAGCCCTAAACCCAAGACAGGGGCATAAGGTTTAGTGTTTCAGATTTTCATTGTGCATCTATCTGGGCTTACGAATCTTTCCCCGGACTCAGGTTTTGCTTGGGTCTATGGGTTAGTAAGAACAGCAAGACAAGTAACAACAGAAGGAACGAACATTTCAAAGCGGCAAAGCAATCAGACTATTGTAGTAGCACGAAGCTCAGAAGCTCGCAGCCATGATGTTAGTAAGGCTCCTCCTGGCATAAATGTGGACCTAAAATTCCAGAACAAATTCGTAATTTATCAAGGCCCGTACAGTCCTAATGCCTCTTCGCACACCACCACCCGAGGGCTACGGTCTGCACACAGGTGAGTAGTATTTTATTCGGGTGTATTATGGTACCCACTATAGAGTAAGATTATATCCTCCTTTTGGGTATAGTATTTTATACAAGGATTATAATCTTACTAGGTTCAACCACCAAAAAAACGCTACTTAATCTAACCCCAATATACTCCCAATACATACCCTATTACAATATAGTAGTTTCCATTTTCTTTTCCATTATCCCTATACAAGCCTAGGTTCAATCACCAAAAACAACGCTACTCAGGTGACCTGCGCCCTGGAAGACAGGGCCAACTCCCGGCCCCACGTCCAGGCCGCGCTTGCTGGAGCTTGGGGTGACTTATGAACCCCCCCAAGTTCCTCCCCTAAACCCTAAACCCTATGAACCCTAAACCCTAAACCGTAAACCCTACGAACCCTAAACCCTAAACCCTATGAACCTTCCAGGTAGGGTTATGATTGGGTGAAAACTACAGCCCTATACAGCCCTATAGTTGGGGGTTGTCATTGCTCTGGGCCTCCCGCGTGGGGGTAACTGCGAACAATTTTGAATTCGCAGTTGGCTGGACAAGGGAGGGTTGTAGGGATGTTCCAAGATTGTCAGACCACGCTTCGAGGACTACTTCCATGCAGGATTGAAGTCAGGGTGGCACTTTGGGATA